TACCTTCCTTCATCTTTATCTTATTTCGACTGTTCTAGGTTTAGGTCATTATGCCCAAGCAAAGCATAAATCACATCATATTTGTGATAAACATCATATACATAAACATCAGTTAAACAAAGCATTTCAGTTAGGGATTATATGAATGATTGTGATTAATGAACTGTGGCTCACTATGTGCTCAAAAGTTTGAAAATGTGCACACCGTGCAACATACGTATTATCCCCATTCACATTGGTGCCACGAGGAAGGGGGGTCCTATACAGTACCACTCTGAATTTAGCCTGCTTGTTTTTCCACCCCTTTCAGGTGGCAGTTGCACTGATCTTCCCAACATTGCCCCCTGGCTGGCATGACGGGCAGAGCAGCAAGGATGGCTCATTCTCCCTAGGTTACGTGATGCTGTGCACGGAGTGACCATTTCAACTACTGACGAGTATGGTGCCTGGAGCGAGTCTTCGACTGGTGTGTTTAGCCTCCTTTACTGCCCATACATCAAAAGTGGTCACGAAGAGCCAACGAATGACGTCACAGAAGTCGAAGTGTCACGCTATTGGATGTTGCGATCCTGGCGGTTGGCCATTGAAAAGTTAAAGAGCAGCCGCGAGTACCACGAGGCGAACACGAGTGTCGCTGTTGTCACGGCGTCCCAACCACCGGCTGCTGGAGCTTCAGTGGACTGTCGAACTGGAGAGTGACCTGCAGCAGAACAGGCGTCTGCCACATCAACCACCGCCGCTGGGAGGATTGCGACCGGCGACAGTATGACACTTGTATGACGCACCGGGCAGAGGCAGAAATTGAGGGACCACTTCTTTGGACACTCTAGACACACCAGTCGGAGATGCATTCCAGGCACCATACCTATACAGTACCACTCTGGCTTCAGACTGCTTGTTTTTCTACCCCTTTCAGGTAGCAGTCGCACTGATCTTCTCAACATTGTCCCCTGGCTGGTATGACTGGCAGAGCAGCAAGGATGGCTCGTTTTCCCTAGGTTATGTGATGCTGCGCACATAGTGATGATTTCAACTACCCAACGAGGCATAGGGATTGTCTTTTTCTTTCAGCAGTGTTGCGAGTCTTTATTTGGGCGGTGTTGTACCTGAATGAGTTAATAAATGTTACGAGTCAGAGAGACAATATATGATGTTTTCAAGAATTTGACAAATTATCATCCCAACATCTTCATTATGGAGGTTGCATGCAGATAATATGTGCATGGGTGTGAAGTTTAGTGCGAGTGAACAATCATAAAAAAGGTCAACTCACTTTGTCTCGCCTTTATTGCAGTGGAAGAATTGTGATGTATTTTTTTCTTCACGAGGCAATAATATTTTGATTGTGGAGTGGGCACAAAAGTGTTGTGCCCGCGAATCGAGCTTGGTGCAAACCTGTGCATAGTAATACATCTTTTAGAGCAAAAAAAAATTAAACCGGTGGCTATTGTTTTATTAGATATTGTTTTGGGGAAAGTTGGTAAACACTCCTCAGCATAGTACTAAACAATGCTTTCGACACATCCACTTGTCAAATGTTGCAGAAATCTTAAGAAAAAAAGATATGCCTTCTTTCAGCAAAGCCTTTCGACTAACTTTAAGCGAGATGTATTTAGAGAAGTATAACGTTTTGTGGTGAACAGCTACTGAACAAATACAGTAGTGAAACAACGCATTAAAACTTGTTAAAAAAATTTGTTGAAATGTGTCTCATCTGTAAATGGATTCGAGTGAGTTTTCAGCAGCTATATGACCAATTTTGTTCTAAGCAGCCATTTGACCCTTCAGAGATCACTTGAGAAGTTGAAATGCATGGCAACACCAAACTAGAAAGCATTCCTGATTTTTCATATTTATTTTACTGACGCAGGGGGCAAGTACATACTACACGTCATTTTTTTAAAACAAGTAATCCAGCACAAACAACAAAGAAGTGGGAATAACTGCTGCAATAAAGTGGATATTTGGGGCAGTTGGTTCATTGCAAACAAAAAGCGCCGAATAAATGCAGGGACACAGACGAAAGGAAACAGGACAAGGCGCCTTGTCCATTTTCTCTTTTTCTGTGTCCTTGTATTTTTTCGGCGCTTTTTGTTTTTAACAACTGTTAGCATGCATACAGGGAACGTTACATATTAGGGGTCAAGAGCTTGCATCAGCAAACGTGCGTGCGCACCACACATGCTTGCTCAGGTCCTTCGCGCCAGAAGCTCTGGAGACTTGTTTATTTTCGGTAAGCGGGGGAACCCACCTGATAGTTTATGCAGGCAACTGCTTTGAAGTTCTCATAAATGTCCGCATAATCGCCACCGGGGCCCGGGCTCTTGATACACGCGTGCGTGAACCCGGTTACTCGAAGGAGGCAGATGATTCCGGGAGCGCCGGGGAAGTGGACGAGTCCGAGCAGTCCGAGCAACAGATTCCTTACGGTGAAACGCGTCACTCTCCCGATTGCGCCGCACGCCGTCTGTTGTGAAATGTTGACAGCTAGAAACATCTTGCCTGCAAAAGTCGCAGCGTGACGAGCAACTGTAGCTTGGGTATCAGCGGCAGCCGCCTGTTGTCGCCGTTCGGACCAGGCCGTCAAGTCGCGGCCAAGCAGCTCCCGCGCCGTTGCCGTTCGTCGTCGCATATCCCGGTGGGATGCATTCAATCACGGAGGAATGGCCGCTTCTCTCGGCGAAAAATACCCGTCACCGAGGGCAACACCGCAATTACAGGACACAAATATTGAACGCGGCGATCCCACATGCGACATCACATCAGCAAGCCGCCATGTTGAAATGACTACGAAGTCGCGTTCAAGATAGGTCCAACCCAGTCTTGAAATTTGGGCACTTCAAGTTCGCTTCAAGCTCCGTTCAAGATCGGTTCAAGTTAAGGTGCGTTTATGAAGCGCGCTTGCTCGTCGCAAGACGGACTTGAGCAAGTTCAAGCTCGACTTCAGAGCAAGTCACATCTATGAATTCGGGGGTAAGTGACCCAAACGACTTTCAAATTTAAAGTATTTTGAGAACCACGCTTACTTCTTATCGCAATTACCGCGCCAACGTGTAGCCTGCGGGTCGTTGTCGACTGAACGAACGGATCTTGTGCCCTCGAGCAAAACTACAAACGCTGCTGCTTCAGCCTTTAACTCTGGGATCTGGCGCCGACATGGTCGCTAGAAACTTACGACTCTTATTTCTTCAGGCGGGGTGGTTCGTAGCAGCTTTTCATGACGCTGCAGCAACGACGTCAGTCGTCCCGGAGGATTTCGGCTTTCGACAAGATCAGGTTTGCCCGGCGTTCCTGCCGCCCTGGGATGGCTACTCACCGTTGGACTTGACAACGCTACCGCCAGTCTTTGAACATCAGATCGACTGACAACCTTGGGCCCTCGAGCACGCCACAAAACTACAAAAGCTGCTGCCTCAGCCTGCCACTCTGGGATCTGGTGCCGACATGGTCGCTAGAAACTTACGACTCTTATTTCTTGAGGTTGATTACTTTTATCGTCCTATTAACGGGAAAACCTTGCAAGAAACGGGCGCCAGAGCCCACCTTTTCTTTTACAATACTTGTACGATGTGTCACTTCGTTTTTAAGTATACGCGTTTTGTCAAAAAATTGCTTTTGCTTGGAGAAAAGATCGGCTTCGCTCCATGAGACAGTTAATGCTTTCGCATTAAAAATTTGAATGCAACTATGCAAATTAAGATTTATTTTCACAGCCACAAAAGTTACGGAAGCTAGCCGCGCGGCGCAGTGGCTCACGACGGTCTTTATACCTCCACATTCAAGCTAAAGAAGCGCTTACAGTATACGGGGGTCCGAATACTGATCGGAATACACTAGCGCAGCGTTAACCCTAGCTTCAACACTGCAAAGAGAACCGATTATCCCGTTAATTGTAGTGGGGAAATTATGTCACGTGAATAATACACGAATTCAGTTCCCCCGCTATACATTAAGCAGGAAAATTGATGTCACTTGACCTGACGTCACGGCACCTACAAAAAATTCAGCATGCTCGCTAAGTTTGGCAGGAAAACTGACGTCATGGTGTCTACGTACCAATTCAGTTTCCCCGCTGTATTTGGTAGGAAAATTGATGTCACGTGACCTGACGTTGCGTGGCCTATACACCGGTTCGGGTTCTCCGCAAATCTTGGTAGGGATCGCTAATACTAGATGACCTAACGTCACGCGACCCATACACCCAACTTAGTTTCCCCGCTAAACTTTGCGAGGAAATTTATATCACGTGACCTACTCACTAATTCAGTTTTCCCGCTAAACTTTATGGAGAAAATTGATGTCACGTGACCTTATCTAACGTGAACTATAAATTTAATTTCCCCGCGAAATTTCGCGGAAAATTTACGACACGTGGCCCGATTTCACCTAACCAGCACTTTTATATTTATGCTACGTGACATTTACTATACAATATTCTATATAGTTTTGTTTATAGTAAAGAAATTGAAACGATTGCTTCTTGAATACATTTCGTGCATTCTATATGACTTTAAAAGTAAAAGTAGCTGCCATTTTTTTCATTCTAGGCAGCCAATGAGATTTCCTCATCAGCCGATAAGAACGACGAAGAGCAAGTTACGAAGTGTGATTAAATAATTCACGCCCCGAGTTTCTTAGCATATCGGTGACTATATAGTTTACAGTCATCTATACGTGCCTGCTTCATCGGTAATTTCAACGCCGCTTCATCCACCCACATTCTCACCCTCCCTTCATTTCATGTCGCCGATAGAAAGGTCAGCGTTCATACCATCAGGCGTGCACATGAGGTCGCCGTTAGAGGACTCCCGACCCGGACCAAGCGGCAAGCAGGACCTCGGAAGCTATAGACGGGTCTTCGTCGCGCTCGGTAGACACGAACGCGACGACGACACAAAGAACGCGTCTGCGGCTTTGCGAAGACTTGCGTCAAGCTTCAGCGTTTTTGGGGAAAGTCGCGGACCTGGTCTTCCAGGCGGTATTTTTCAGCGCGCACGTACCCTAGGTCTTAAGGTTGTCCGATATATGTTCTGGGTGATCATGGTCGAGGCGCTGAGCATGGACGAGTCCGCCGACGACAGGACGGCCGAAGTGATGGCGGCCAAGCCGAGAATGGACACGGTGTTTGGAGTCATGTAGCGGATTGCACTCGCAATAACCGCGCCGCTGTCATCCAGTACTGCGGGCCCCGGATAGCCCGCCGCCGTGAAGTCTGCATCGGATAAAAAAACAAAAAAACCGTGGAGTTCAGATGACTGCGGTAATTATAAAATAGTCCTCAATAGCCCTTCCGGTATCTTCTATTGGCGACGTGAGCGATCGAAAGCGTCGCTGTGGTCGGCCCACCACAATTGGCCGAATGCTGACTATGACGTCAGCAAAGGATATCCAATCGGCGCGAATAAGAGGAATGTAAGAACTTCAATTTTGACGGTGTGGGCAGTGTTACTTTGAGAGCGCTATGATTTCAGGCTTTCACTATGCTCATTACAAACACCATTGAACTTGTTCTTCCCAAGGTAATGACGTCACGAAAGGTAACCAAACGAGGGCTCCACCGAAACATCTCGCCGCTAATAAACAATCACACCTTTCACAAGCTCAGTGCCATCTAATGGCTCAAATATCAGTTTAAATTTGTGCATGCTAATGGAGGTTAAAATCTAGTACCTATTATACTTCGTCTCACCCTAGCATGGACTAAGTGCAAAGGCTGTGCAAGCGCGAGCGGGCAGCTGGACTGCCTTTACTGGAGCACCCGCTGCACGAGCGCTAATGCAGCCGCCGAGGCTTCATCCAAAGCAAATAGCTCGCACTTTTAGCATGCGCGGCTAACAATACTCCATGCAAAGGTGAGACGAAGTATAGAAAACGTCAGACGTAAGAAAGCTACGGTATTCTTTGATGTACGGTTATTTCTATATTTTTCAGTTTCGATGGTCTTAAGAAACTACCACTCTGTTCGAAGCGCTTAATTGAGTAAAAGTCGCCGTACAATTCACCTCATTTTATTGTCATGAGTTGTCTGCGGCGTATCGAAGCTGAGCATTTCAAGGATTTACGTGATACCCTCAAAATGGTATCACGCAACTCCTTGAAATGCTCAGCTTGTAAGCTTCTATTATAGAAGCTTACAAGACTCGTCACTATGACATCGACTAACTATACAGCGTACGTGATACGTCTGGAATGTTGAGGCTCCGTGTCGATGCCCGTCTTCAATTTCTTGCTTCACCAGCCGTCGAAGGCCGTCATTAGCATGTACAGATGATATACACTTAGATTATGAGAGTTATAAAATGTGGCCAGACTAAATTTGGGAACCGTCTATTGCAAGCATGACACCCCGATAGATGCCCCATGGATGCAAGCACGTGCAGCGTGCGTGTGATTATAGCTTTGGCAAGCTTGAAAATGCACGGACTTTTTTAAACGAGCGGACAGATGGCAGTATCCAGTCGCCTTCCTTGCAGCGGCTCCGGAGGTGCATCTGATGAGTGGGGCGACGTCTGGGGGCTCATGTCGCATCGTGTAGTTCACCTCTCACCTTCTTTTTCTCTCTTTATATATATATATATTGTGACGGTTGTAAGGAGAGGAAGAAGACGTCACGTCGGGGACAAGCGGGGAACAGATTGGGGCAAAGGACACGCTTAAATAAAAGCGTTACACTGGTGTCAGAAGTGGGATCTTCAGTGAAGACGCCTTCTGCCGGCACGCATGGACCTTCCTCGACAGCCTGAGGATGAGATCCCGCGAACCGGAGAAGCCATCGCGCCCCGGCCGGTTCCCGACTCCATTGACCCTAACATTCGAACTGAGACTTCATCGGCCATTGAAGCCCTGCTGGATGCCCACCACCAACGGACTGCCCAGGAGCTCAGGCACAGAGACGCGGCCCTTTTGGAGGTTCTGTCGAATTTATTCGAACGAATGTCGCTCGCACTTCTTGATGGCCTGCGAGCGCTCGTCCAGCCAGGACTTTCGCAGGCAAGTCCAAGTTATCTGCAGCCAACATCAGTGACGACAAACGTCGCGTCGACTATACCTTTATCTACTCCACGCCTTAAGCTGCGGCCATTGCAGTTTGACGGCACAGGCACATGGTCTGCCTACGTAACACAGTTCGAGATTCTTGCTAAAGCCAATCGCTGGACCGAAGAGCAGCAGGCACAAGTACTTGCAGTAAACCTCAGCGGTCCAGCGTTGCAAGTGCTCCACCACATGCCGCCTGAATCACGTGGTTCATACACCTTGCTGGTCCAGGCGTTAGAAGAACGTTTCGGCGATGGGCCTCAACGTCACCTTCACCATGCTGAGCTACGTCATCGACAACAAGCATCGGGTGAGACGTTGTCCCAGCTCGCTGACGACATCGAGCGTCTTGCGCGCTTGTCGTTCCTCGGGTCTTCCGAAGACACCGTAGATGCTGTCAGCACTGCGGCGTTCATTGATGCTATTGCATCTGAAGATATCCAAAAAGCTGTGCGTCTTTACCACCCCCGCACGTTTCGGGCCGCTCACACGTATGCATTAGAAGTGGAGGCCGCTCGCAAGGCCTCACGGTGGACAACCATGCATCAGTCGGCAACCACCCTTCCGACAATGACTTGCTCGAGTTCCCAAGAAGAAGGCCACAGCAGAACAGAAAGTGAAGATGCTGAACCAACAGTTGCTTTTTGCAGGGAAACTACACCTGCTACCTCGCTAGGCTCGTGTTCAGTTGAACTCGGCGCTCACCTTATTACGCTATACGAGACTACTGCTTCTCGACTTCAACAAGATGACGCTGTCCTTCTAAAAAGCTTTCTATCTCGTTTTTCGACGGTATTCAGCAGTAGCAACACCGGTTTGGGGAAAACAAATCTGACCGCACACCGCATCATAACCGGTGATGCTGCGCCCATTCGACAGCCACCTCACAGGGTGCCGCTGGCTAAGCGCGCGCACGTAAATGACCTTGTTCAAGAAATGCTCACACAAGGTGTAATTGAGCCAGCCTATGGACCCTGGTCTTCGCCTATCACCCTGGTAAAAAAAAAAAGATGGATCGACTCGATTTTGCGTGGATTATAGAAAGCTGAATGACGTTACAAAGAAGGATGCCTTTCCACTACCACGGACAGATGACATCTTAGACGCACTCGCGGGTTCCACTTGGTTCTCGACTCTCGACCTGAAGAGCGGCTACTGGCAGGTTCCAGTACATTCAACTGACCTCGAAGAAACAGCCTTCAGCACAGGCTGTGCACTCTACCAATTTACAGTCATGCCATTCGGGTTGTGTAATGCGCCCGCAACGTTCCAAAGTCTGATGGAGAAGGTTCTTCAGGGACTGACCTGGTCTGCGTGCCTTGTTTATTTAGACGATATCGTGGTCCTTGGGAAAACGTTCGCCGAACACTTGGCAAATCTTGAGCTGGTTATTCAGCGACTTCAGGACGCAAACCTGAAACTAACTCCTAAAAAATGCACCCTATTTGCTAGGGAAACTCGGTACCTAGGCCACGTTATCTCAGCCAATGGAGTTTCTCCTGACCCAACGAAGTTGTGTGCCACAACCGATTGGCCGACCCCGACATCAGGTGCGGACGTTCTGAGTTTCCTTGGCTTAGCGACTTACTACCGGCGATTTGTTCCTGGTTTCTCGCGAGTCGCTAAACCGCTTTATGCTCTAACTGAGAAGTCCAAGGTGTTCAACTGGTCCACCGAATGTCAAGACTCCTTCGAGGCACTCAAGCAGGCATTAACATCGCCCCCTGCACTGGCTTACCCAAGAGATGACGCCTTATTTATTCTTGATACAGATGCAAGCAACACTGCAGCCGGTGGCATTCTATCCCAACAGCAAGAGGGCCACGAGCGAATCATCGGGTATTATAGCAAAGCATTCACAAAACCGGAGCGTAACTATTGCACCACAAGACGCGAACTTCTTGCGATAGTCAAGGCGCTCTCTCACTTCAATCACTACTTGTGCGGCAGGAAATTCATTATTCGTACAGACCACGCGGCTTTGACATGGTTGCTTGGTTTCAAGGCGCCAGAAGGACAAGTGGCCCGCTGGCTAGAACAACTCCAGCAGTACAACTTTGAGATCAAACATCGAGCCGGATCACATCACAGCAACGCTGACGCCCTCTCCAGACGACCATGCAGTGAGGGCTCCTGTCGACAGTGCTTGAGCATGATCCGCCGTAATTCGACCCGGACAGACATGTTCTGCCAGGTAGCCATCTCTAACAACATGTGGTCACCTGAAGAGATCCAAGAGGCCCAGTTGCGCGACCCTGCTGTCGGCCTATGTGTCCAATGGAAGCGAAGCGGTCGCCGACCGCCACGTACCGAGATATCTCATCTTTCTCCAGACGTCTTAAGCTACTGGGCCCAGTGGGACACGCTGGAATTGCGCGAAGGACTTCTTTATCGTCGCTGGGAGTCACCTACTGGTGACCGAGTCGTGTGGCAGCTAGTGGCACCACCCGAGTTCCGCGCCCAGATTTTCAGACAGCTTCACAGCAGCCCTGAAGGAGGCCATTTTGGCTTCAATGGCACCCTTCGGAAGATACGCGAGCGCTTCTACTGGTTGCAGTGCCATAATGACGTTAGATTATGGTGCCGGCAATGCGACATGTGCGCCTCGCGTAAGGGTCCACACAAGAAAGCGCACGCGCCTTTGCAAGAGTGCATCAGTGGAGCACCATTTGAACGTATCGCCATCGATGTTCTAGGTCCATTACCACGATCAAAAACTGGAAACAGGTATCTTCTCGTCATTGTGGACTACTTTTCGTAATGGCCAGAAGCCATCGCCATTCCTGATCAGACTGCCCCTGTTGTGGCGGATGCTCTGGTGACTCACTGGATATCCCGATACGGCGCACCCTTGGCACTGCATTCCGACCAAGGGCGGAACTTTGAGTCCCAAGTATTTAAAGAGGTTTGTCAACAATTTAACATAACCAAGACAAGAACGACGCCGCTGCATCCTCAGTCCAATGGACTCGTGGAGCGCTTTAATCGCACCATACTGCAGCATTTGGCTATGTTTGTTAATAGCCACCATGACAATTGGGACGACTGTGTTCCTTTGTTTCTCTACTCCTACCGAACAGCGGTCCATGAAGTCACCGGGTATACACCTGCTATGATTCTCTTTGGGCGGGAAATTCGTATGCCCTGCGATCTCGCCTTCTCAAGGCCGCCAGACCG